CAAGATCTTCATAGGTCTACCTATAACTTTCATAGGTCAACTCATTCAATGCAATTTTCCAAAAATCACAATTTTCTCCATTCTTTTGCATTCCTTTTGCTTCCAAACTTGCATACTTATAAGTACTTGATACATGCATCATTTCTAGTAGGATTATAGAGTAAAACCTACATGAAACCATGATTTAAAAGCATACACATCATCTTCAACCTCTCTTCTATGCATACACACAACCAAACTACACATAATCATTTTGATCGGGTGACCATCTAGATTAGGGTTGATAACATCCAATTAGGTTGTTGTATTGAGAATATTGGGTTGTGTTCTTTGAGAGTTTCAAATAAGAAAACTGAGTTGGGGTTTTCCTTCAAGATCATGAAGGATTTGAAGGTTTTGGCCAAGATTACACAGTTCGGATTCAATCGAGTGAAAGACTTGGGACAAGGGGTGCCTTGCAAGGGAGTAGCGTGAGACAGTGGATCGTGTTGGTAAATGTTGGGGTTCAATAAATGTCTGCTTAGGATTAATTGACCGAGTAAAAACCTTGAGACATGAAGTGTTTTACAAGGTAGTAACAACAATTGGTGAATTAAAGCGAGATTTTTAGTTGCTTGATTTAATCTTTGATCAATGGTTTTGGAGGTGGTAGAATCAACAACAAACCTAGGGTTTATAGAGTTAGAGTTCTTCATCTCTTGTATATGCACTTTTTGTAAAGTAAGATTAATTACAATTATCTCAATTCAAATTCAAATTGAAGGAAGATGTACCCATATCGAGGCTGATTCGGGAACTACCTAAGCAAATCCTTATGCTCTCTCTCTCTCTCTCTCTCTCTCTCTCTCTCTCTCTCTCTCTTAATTTTGTGTTCTCAAATTATTGAATTCACTGTTAGTTTGATCAATTCGTTAGGGAATTATTTTTTTATCACATTTTGTAATAGGTTTTGTTGATATAATTATAATCTGTTTGATTGTGATTTGTTTTAAAATCAACAAAATAAAAAAAAATTCTAAACTATATCGATTGCATATAAAGTGTTATATAAATTGCTTTATTGTGTTTTTTTGTGTGTTTTTATCACTGTGAATGAGCTATATGTATAGTTAGCATTCAATTGTTTGTAATTGATAGTTGTTGAACAATTTATGTTCATTATTATACGTTTGTGTACTTTTACGCATATCCGAGCTTTTCGATGAAGGTTCAGTTAGACGATTCAATTCAGGTTGTTTCCATTGTGCCATAAAACTTTTGAAAACTGTTTTTGCCAAAAGTTTTTAATTTGTGATCTATTCACCCCATCTAGGTCGAATCCTATCGTCTAACATATACTATGTATAATGCTTCCATCCAGGAAATGTAGAAAAAAGTTTTTTCATTTCATGCAAAAGGCTTATCTTCAATAGATATACTCAAGAATTATTGAGAAAGGGATTGATCAACTTAAGTCAGTGAAGCTTGAGGAGGAGTAATATATCTATCATGAAAGAGACAAGATTGAAATTCCAACCGAAAACAATGATCGTCAAAACAATAATTTTTCTTTCATGAATTCATTGCAAGTTACACTATTGGATACTTTGTCAAAGTGAAAAGTGGTAAGATCATTGTTGTTATTGGTTTGTGGCACATTTTGCATTTATTTCAAATTTCGTTCAAGAGTTCCTTGTGGAATGCACGTACGTCCTCCGTCATTCGTACAGTGAGGTAGTATCGTTTCAATTTTCACTTTATAAGCAAGTTTCTTCTTTTACCGATTTATTTCTTAAATGTATGTGATATATGGTGTGTATGATACATGTTATTGAGTGTTTATTTTCAAAAATTTCAAGTGTAACCATTGTGTGTTTCATTCTATATGCTTACAATGATCTCATTCATAATATCGTCACATGTGATCTATATCTTTTATTTTACCATGCTTACATTTGTGTGTTTACATGTTATTGGCCAACAAATCATGAAAAGCAATCATATGCATAAGTCTCTTATCAATTAGTCATGCATGAGTCAAATTGAGTCCTCAAAATTCATTCCAAATTCACAAGTGTCAACTTTTTCAAAATTTGGACGTTATGTGTCGACATGAAATTCGTATAGGTCAGCACATAAAATCAAATTATTTTAATTTTTCAAAATTCTTTCACTATGTGTCGACACATGTGATGGATAGGTCGGCACATAAAATAATTGTTTGAATTCTTTGCTTTTCGCTTCAGTATGTGCCTACACATGACTTTGATAGGTCGGCACATGCACTTATAAGTCGACTCATAAAGTTCCATTTGGTCAATCTCTCTTCATCTCCTTCAGTCTCATACATGCACCAAAACTCTCAAATCTCTTAAATTCATCTTGAACCTTGAAACTCATTCAATATACATTAAATCTTCCTTATTTCATTTATTCCATATCATTAACATTCTTATTTCCATAAAATCATTTGCATTATTCATCAATTTCTCTCGTTTTCCCTTCAGAAACTCCCTTTCACCATGACTCACAAAAACCCTGAATTCTCACTTGTTTGTGTCCCATCTTCACATATTTGTGTGTTTCCTTAATTGCATGTCCTGTTTGAGTGTGTGGGTATTTATTAATCTCACATACTATTTGACTTTTCTTTCAAAGAATTCATCAAACATTTGGTCTGGGTATTCATTAATCTCTATCTATCTCTTTTACATTTTGTTTGCAAATTGTCATGTTTATCATTTGTGTGATTAATTTGTTTGGTGATTTCTTTAGAAAATCATTTGAAAAGAGTTTTGTTGAATTGATCACAATCATTTTGATTGTGGTTGGATTTAAAGATCAACAAAACTATACAAAACCTCAAACATAATTGATTGCACACAAGGTGTTCGATAAATTGTTTCAATTGTGTTTTTGTTTGATTTATCATTAGAAATAGAGTTGCTTGTTAAGTAGCCTTCTAGTAATTGAGATTAAAACACATTGACTAAAACTGCTTATCATCATCTCTAATTTATTTTGACATACGCATATTCAAGCTTTTCGATAGCAAGTTCGATTTAGATGAATCGATCCAAGTTACTTCCGCTAGCCAACGTTTTGCAAATCGTTTTCATCTATCAATTTTTTTAGGGGATCTATTCACACTTCGCTAGATAAGTCACCTTTGTCTAACACCATGTACTTCAAGATTTACTTGCAACAGTTGGAGACTTAGGAGAATTTCTCGTCTAGGTACAATTGGTTGTGAATGAGGTCGATGTGATGGTTCACCCTGACAAAGTTGTTATATAGATCTGAAGAACGAGAGTGCTTATAAGACTCATTAGCTAACTCTTGAAAGAACGAAACTGGTTACATAAGGGACCAATAGAGATGCCAACAGCGCTTCCACCAGAGAAGGGGAGGTAGAGGTGGAGCTTTGACGGCTTCGGCAGACGCGTAACAATTTTTCGTTGGGCGGTATATCAAGTGACTTTAGATGTCACTATGCTTGATGAATCAGATGATAAATATATCTGAGGAGGAGATTGAAACTTCAAGAAAGGAGATATATGATTTAGATATTTGGTGGAGAAAAAATGATTTTTCATGGAAATTAGCGGAATCAGAAGTTCATTCCCACCGATGATGCCACTGTTCGGTTATGAACTAGAAATATAAGATGAAGTGGTAGAATTGTTTCTCAATGTAGTGGAGAAATACTTCATATGCGATCGAGCGATATAGACCTACACACTTAGCATTCCAACGTCTAAGTCAGTGAAAGAATCAAAAGTAATATGAAAGTGATATTGAATTGTAATACTTGAAATGATGTGCTTCACCCTTATATACTAAGAACGGTTGAAACTGTTCGCGAGTAAAACAATGTGTTGTACGAACAACTATCTGATTGAATTGTATGATAATTGATGTGTTGGAATACATGATTGTCTACCTCTGATCAGAGTGAAGGTCTACTTGTTTTGTTCACCTCTTTATTTCGACATCAATGTTAGACCTTTTATCATAGACCTTGCGGACGATTAAGAAAATATGCATTATAAAAGAATGTTTTCGAACCAAAGATATCTCAAATTTGAAATAATTTTTTAAAATAAGATTAAAATAAATAATTCAAAAAGTCTTTAAAAAATCAATGAAGTGAATTGAGAATTTTTTCTTTTTGAGTATTTATCGTTTTATTTCTTTGATGTAATTCTTTGATTTGAGAGTTAAGGTTACTTTATCTTTTAAAAATATAAAATAAGAGAGAAAATAATACTTAACATAAGTGTGAAATATTTCTGCACTATGAATTAATGAGCGATGTACATTTCATCGAATCACATATTTACTTTTAAAATACTGTTATAACTTATTTATTTTTAAAATACTTATATAATTTAATAAATTTAAATTTTTTGATCGAATGTGTGTAATATTACTTTACAATAATAATATAAATCATAGCATTTTTAAAACCATTTCCTTAATTTGAGGAGAAAGGAGTACATAAAATAATAGGAAAGCGCGGGTATAACAAACACTAATCTTGCATCGCGTATGTGACCAGTGAGTCTTTTGAATTTGAATCATACACATCGTGAGAGAAGAATTTCGGAAAATGGAAAATCCTACACAGTAAACAGAAATTACCCGTCGTGAATGTGACGTTACACGTGTCACACAGACGTTACCCACGTCATCAACGAGTCACTGTTAGTCGGTTGGTAACCCCAAACTTCACTCACATAATTCAGCTACGAAACAAAACCAACGGACCCATCTTCATCTTCCTTTTTTTTTCTTTCTTTTTTCTTACTGCCAAAATAACAAACAAACAGAACGAAAATTCCAAATTCACTTTTCAATTTTCATTCTCCTCGCATTTTCCCCAAAACCGCGAATTTCTTCCCTAACTCTTACGCAAAATCGCTTCCATCCTCCGAATGAAAAATTTCCCGTTCGCAATTTCATCGTTCGATAGGTAGGTTTGTTCTGGTTCGAAAATCAGAATCTGAAGCTTCGCGGACATGGCTATGCTCCGCAAGTTATTCTTTCGTAAGCCTCCTGACGGTCTCCTCGAGATCTGCGAGCGAGTTTACGGTACTTTTTTCTTTTATCATCGCTTTTCAATTCCTTCAATTGCACGCTTCTAATAAAAGAACCGCGAAAATTCATTTCATCATTCCATTGTGCAATTCATAGATGATTGAAGATATTAGGTTTTTGTTTGATAATTATTTGGAAAATGTAGGTAATGGAATTTGATAGGGAGTAAATAATAGTCATTGTTTATACTTCATTGGAATTGATAATCTATGAAGCACGGACACCAAATATACCATCACCTGACACCGTGTGACACTAACACGTCGACACCAGGAATAATTTGAGTAATAATTTGAAAAAATGAATAAATTAAACCTACTCATAAGTGTCAGGATCGGTTTGAAACACCGACACTGATACACACATTTTTTTTAGAGGTGTTAGTGTTAAAGAGGAAAAAATAGATTAAAATTTATCATTTATGTTTGAATGTAGTTTTTGATTGCTGTTTCACAACGGAAGCTTGGAATGTAGAGAAGTACAAAGTGTATGTGGATGGTATAGTTGGTGAGCTTAGAGAGAATGTGCCTGATGCTTCTATTATGGTTTTCAATTTTCGCGAGGAACGCACTAAGAGTTTAATGGCAAAGGTGATGTCTGAGTATGATATTACTATAATGGATTATCCTAGGCATTATGAAGGTTGTCCTGTTCTCAAAATGGAGCTAGTTCATCATTTTTTAAGGTCTAGTGAAAGTTGGCTCTCACTTGGTCAACACAATGTGTTGTTGATGCATTGTGAACGCGGTGGTTGGCCAGTTTTGGCTTTCATGTTGGCTGCATTGTTGATTTTTAGGAAGGTATATACCGGGGAGCATAGGACTTTGGATATGGTTTATCGGCAGTCTCCGCACGAGCTTTTGCATTTGTTGACGCCGTTGAATCCAATTCCTTCCCAATTGAGGTATCTGCAGTATGTTTCTCGGAGGAATGTGGCCTTAGATTGGCCTCCGCTTGACAGGGCACTCATGTTGGACTGTATTATACTCAGATTCTTCCCCAACTTTGATGGGAAAGGCGGTTGTCATCCCTTGTTTAGAATTTATGGACAGGATCCTTTTAGTTCGGATAAAAGGTCTAAAATGTTGTATTCAATGCCAAAGAGAAACAAAAATATCCGGGCTTACAAGCAGGTGAGTTTGCCTCATGCTTTTCGCACATAGTTAGGTTTTTTGTTTGCTGATGATTTTATTGGAGTCATTACTTTTTAGGAGACATGCACTCATTGCTTATGTTATGAAATATCAAGCCAATTTGGTAGATAATTTTTTTAACAATTAAAAAAACTGTGTTAATTTTGCAAACAGTTGTTGAAATCTGAGAGTAGCTATATTCTTGATATTACTCGCAACCTCATAAACTGTAGCAAACAGGCTCTGGAATGAAACAGGATAAATCTCTTATTTCACCTTCGTGCTATAATGCTGGTTTATTCTCTATCATCTTGAGTACTTGATGAAATATGCTGCATAGTTTTCCATATTTTAAACTTCAAATACTTAATTACTACTCAAACTTGTTTTCCTACTTATTAAGTCGAGCTCGAATAATTATGTTTGGTTGCTTGATCCTTGGATCATAATATGCATGTACCTATACTGATGAAGAGTGTGTAGGAACTGGAGTATCGTTAAAATTTCTCTTAGACTTGATTCAAGTGCACTTGGCATCAATATACCTGAAATGTGAAAGGAAAGAGAGTGAAATACTTGAAATTAGGAATGCAAGATAAGTTCATACAGTCTATGTTCAGCCTTTAGCTGACTTGACCAACAGACCTTTTGGTTATTAGCCTCACAAGGACCCTGTTGACTTCAGGATGAGTCCATTCCAGTTAAATTTTAATGAATATATATGTTAATAAGATTACATGCTTTGTTCCTGTGAGCGAGATGAGTCTGCAACTTGCCTGAGTTGTGTAATTATTGTGGAGTTCCTTGCTACTGTGTTGCAGGGAGAGTGTGAACTAATTAAAGTTGATATCAATTGCCATATTCAAGGTGATGTCGTGATTGAGGGTATTAATTTGAAAGATGATACGGAGCATGAAATGATGATGTTCCGAGTCATGTTCAACACGGCTTTTGTTAGATCCAATATTCTGATGCTTAATCGCGATGAAATTGATGTTCTATGGGATGCCAAAGATCACTTTCCAAAGGATTTCAGAGCTGAGGTACATCTTGATTTCGTCTATAATCACGTTTATTTTTTTTCATAATTTTCTAATGTTATATTTGTTTTTTGGTCTATGTTTGTGTTAAGATCCTTTTCTCAGAGATGGATGCTGCTGCAGCAGTTATTGCAGATGGTAAATCATGCTTTGAGGAGAAAGAGGGGCTGCCGATTGAAGCCTTTGCCAAGGTTCAAGAGATCTTTAGCCATGTGGACTGGATGAACCCAAAGGCAGACGCTGCACTAAATGTGCTCCAACATATAAGTACTTCCGCTATCATGAATGACAAGTTGGATAAAGTTTCTGATCAGCACGTGGAAACTGCCACGTTATTGCGTGAAACAGATCCAAAAACGCCTCAGAGGAATTCATACGAAGCAATACAATCTTTATCCTCAACTAAGCGATCCCCAAGTAATGATATGAGTGGAAAAGAGGATAAGACAAACAAAGTAGATGCTATTCCACAGAGGGATGATGCATCAGACATCATCTGTCAGGAGACAATCTGCTCACCTGAAAGAAGTTTGAAATCCAGTAAATGTCCAACAGGGTCAACAAATCTTGGCATAAAACTGCAGGCACCCAATCTTTCTTCACCTGATTCTGTGGATTCTTCTCTTTCCCCTGAAACACCTCCTCTGCGGCCTCCCTCAACTGCTCGTGCTAAAGAAATTCATGATTCTCCTCCTCACACAGAATCACCCCCTCATCATATTTTGCCTTTGCAATCAGGACATCAATCACAAGGCAGAAGTTATTCACCTACTTCTACCTCTACACCTGGGAACCAACTTTTATCTGCGCCCCACAATAAGTCGCCACCAGCTGCCGTTGTTTCACCTCCTTCACTTTCAGCAGCTTCTTCAACTCAGCCGCCCCCTCTTCTTTCTTCCAAAACACCTTCAAATGACATTCCTCCTGTCAAAACAAGACCTGAGTCTTCCCCTTCACAACCTCTAACTCCACCTACCCCCCCACTTAAAGATCACAAAGTAGTTAGAGCTGGACCTCCACCCCCACCCCCATCACAGCCTCCTCCAAAGAAGGAACTACATGTTGAAACTGGACCTCCTCTTGTTCCATCTCCTATAAATGAGAAGCCACGAGATGGAATTTCTCCTCCTCCTACTCCTCCTTTACCTCCTCTAAAAGTGGAGCAACCAGTTAGGTTTAATCCCCCACCACCTCCACCACCACCCAGTCTTTCAAGGGAAGTTGCAAGTCCTACACCACCCAGTATTTCAAGAGATGCTGCAAGTCCTACTACAGCACCGCCAGCACCGCCTCCGCCTCGTCATTCAAGGGAAGCTGCGAGTCCTACTATAGGACCACCGGCACCACCTCCCCCTCCATCTGCAACACTTTCCTCCAGTAACCCTAATCCTTCATTGCAAAAGTGTCCTCCAGTTCCACCACCTCCAATTCCTTTTGTTAAAGAAGGTCTAAAAGCAGGCGGTGGTTTTCCAATGTCTCTTTCTGTGGGAGGTGATGCAAATAATGTCTCAGGCACATCAGGACATCAATCTAGTTCACTAACAGGTTCAAAGGGACGAGTTCTATCACATACAATTGGCTCAAAGAATAACTCCAAAAAGTTGAAACCATTGCATTGGATGAAACTATCTAGAGCAGTGCAAGGAAGTTTGTGGGATGAGACGCAAAAATCTGGCGAAGCTTCCAAGTAATGCTGATTGACTTTAGTGTTCCATTTTCTGGGACAGGTTGAGATTGCGCTTCTACTATTCTAGTGTCTCACCTCCTTCTGCTTGTATTATCTTAATGTAGAGCTCCAGAGATTGATATGTCAGAGCTCGAGAGTCTTTTCTCGGCAGCAGCCCCGAGTTCAGGCCTTGCCAAGAAGTCAAATGCCCAAAGCTCGGTTAGGCCTAAATCTGAGAAAGTGCAACTGGTAAATTAGCTTCTTCAGTGTCTTTAGACTTTATTCTCCTGCTCATATTACGGAACTATTAGAGTTCACTTGTATAGTCAAGTGTGGAAACTGTGAAGTAATAAATGGTATGAGTATGGTAAAATAGCTCTATTTATCATTTTCTGATTGATATACATTTTAAGGTCATGCTTAAAGGTGGTGTTTTCATCTTTATTTTGATTTTACCTTTTACTATCACTCCTTGCAGATTGACCATAGGCGGGCATGTAATTGTGAAATCATGCTTTCAAAAGTGAAGGTGCCGTTGCATGATTTAATGGTGAGTTTGATATTATATCTACTAGCAGTACTAAAAAAGCAATTGTGCGTATCAAAAAATTATGGAGTGTTATTTAATAGGAAAACTATGCTTTGATTGGAAAATCTGTAACTTATCATTTTTTAGTTTGGTTTTGATAGAAATTGAGATCTTAATTCTACAATAATGTATTTTATTTCTGACAGATTTAGAGATTGCTATAGAAGATTGTGGGCCTGTTTGTTTTGACTTGGATGTAGTAATTTATTTCTTAAAAAAGTGGTTTTTTAAAATTAAAAATACATGTCTAAAAAATTAACAATTAGTTTTTTTGGGAAAACATAAATATTAAAAATGATTTATTTAAATGCTTTCTTCAATTGATAATTATAATAGCTAAAAATAGTTAGTAACTTTAAAAATTGTATCATAAATCACTTTTTTCATCCCAAACAAAAGTGTTGTGAAATTATTAATTTTCAGCATAACTTTCTAGTTATGGTCTTCATTATTTATAATTAGACATAAACATGTAACAGCCACAAATAACTGCTTACGAATAACATAAACTGTCATGGACAGTTATGGTTTGTCAGTTACAGTCTCTTCTCTTATACTAATTGTTAATAAAAGGTTTAACACAATGTTCCTCTACCCTCTAGTTAATGTGTCTAAAGAAGAGGGGAAATAATAGAATATGGAGTTGCAATTGTCCACCAAGTCATCGACTTACTTCTGTTTTGGGGGTGTCATAGTCCATAAAAATAATCTGGGACTTGTGATACTGATTTCCATTATTTTCTAGTATTGTTCATGAAGTGGAATTATCTAGTTGATTTGATAACTGCTAATATGAGTTTTATTCATAGTAATGGATTCTCTAAAATAATCCAGAGTTCAGTGTTAGCACTGGAAGAGTCACTTGACGTTGATCAGGTTGAGAACCTCATAAAGTTTTGTCCTACAAAAGAGGAGATGGAAATAATCAAGGTTAGTGGATAATCATGGTGAACAATCATGCTCTGTTCAAGTTCCTTAGCGTTGAGTCTCCTCTTTCTTACAATTTTTTGTATTTTATTTATCTGGTAGAGTTATAACGGGGAAAAGGAGAAGTTAGGGAAATGTGAACAGGTATGTAAGGTTTTATGATTTTTATTATAGGTATTTTAGATCTCTTCTGCCAGATCACAACATGTATGAATACTAAAATTTGAGCACTGGTTAAATATTTGTATGCCTAACAACTATCGTCAACGATGGAGACTGCATTTCTACTTACTCTGACATGGATATGAATTTATATTTATAATTTTTTCGTCACAGTTCTTCATGGAGTTAATGAAAGTACCACGGGTAGAATCTAAGCTCAGAGTATTTTCATTCAAGATTCAGTTCCATTCTCAGGTCTAAAGATTTCCTTTTACTATCTACCTCAGTAGGGGAAAAATGAATTTAAGTTTATTTCCAGTTTGACCCTGCTAATATTTTTTTGTGTAGGTTTCCGATCTTAAAAATAGCTTGAATGCCGTGAATGCTTCTTCAGAAGAGGCATAATATCTTCCTTCTGCTGATACAGAATTTTGGCAATCTTTTCTTTCTCTATTTAATTGAGAAATGACATTTTGGATGCTGTCATGATAATATATATTTTTTCAGATCAGGAGTTCTGTCAAATTAAAGAGAATTATGCAAACAATACTTACCCTAGGAAATGCTTTGAATCAAGGAACTGCCAGGGGTATGTTGAAACAATAGTATATAGAAATAGATAGATAGATATATACAACATGAAGTGTGATAGCAAAGAAAAATATCACATTTTATACATTGTTTGTTATTTTTAGTCTTCATGCTTGGTACACCTGCATTAGAGTCCTTCCCTATTATTTTGACAGTTTTCGATCTTGTATGTGCAAATATAACCGGTACCTGATTTTTGTTTACTTTCCCCTTTGCCTCTTTGTTTTTTTTCCTACTTACCACGTTGTTGTAGCAGTGTGTTGAGTACTCTTCTTTTTCTCGTGGGTTACGTGGTTATTTTAAAAAATATAGACGTAATTTTACAATATTTAAAGGAAAAATGTAGATTACAAAAACTAGAAGGTGATGAATGAGTTCAATTCAGACCACGGTTTTTTTTTTAAAATATAGGTGCTGAGAAACGAATAATTCACATTTTGCATTATGTTTTGATAGTTTGCTTTAGCTTAAAACTGTCCTTGACTGGCCATTGTTCACTTCCTGTTAAAAATTTCATGTGCTTTCTATAACCAATTTGTACCATATTACATTTGACACTCTTTAGAGTTTAGTCTGGTAATTGTGATATGTTTATGATCTCTCATCTCTGTTTAGGTTCTGCTATTGGATTCAGATTAGATAGCCTTCTTAAACTGACTGAGACACGTGCACGGAACAACAAAATGACTCTCATGCATTATCTTTGTAAGGTAATCTTGCTATTTATTTATTTCTTCATTTTTTAAAAATAATAATTAGTTTCATCTTTGTTACGGAGTAAATTCTGAAATTAAGTTGAGGTAATATTTTGGATAATATTTCTTGTACTTGCATTTGGAGAATTTGTATCTTTAATGCATCAACCTAATACTATGCTTGCATAGGTGTTAGATGACAAATTACCAGAAGTTTCAGACTTCTCTAAGGATCTTGCTAATCTAGAGCCAGCGGCAAAGGTTGTGAACTTCTCCGATCCTCATTTGTTCATTATATTGATAGGAATTAAATACCTACAAATTTACAACACTGACTGAACTAGTTTGATTCAGGTCCAATTGAAGTTCCTGGCAGAGGAGATGCAAGCTATAAACAAAGGATTAGAGAAAATTGTACAGGAACTATCCACTTCTGAAAATGATGGTCCTATATCAGAAAAGTTCCGCAAGGTGTTGGCATCATTCCTTGTACATTTTTACTTCTTTCAAGTTTAAGATTTTCACAAAACTATGAATAAATTATGCACGGTTATCTGTGAGTATCTTATATGTTTAGACTAATTGGAGCCACTTGGGCTTGCAATCATGTATCTAGAAACCAACAATATTTTTTTGTTCCCCCTATGGAAGAGGACACTGAGAATTGCCTCTTATTGGTCTAGTATGAGATTTTGTATGTTCTTACTTTAGGAGAATAAGAGAAAGATAAAAAAAATATGCACATTGGTAAAAAAAAATCTGATTTCATATGATTGGTTTTATCCACTGGCAGTCTTTTAACACTTTCTTTTCCCTTCAGAAATTGAAAGACTTCCTCTGTTCTGCTGAAGCTGAAGTCCGCGCATTGGCTTCAATGTATTCTGGGGTGGTAGGTCCTCTGATATATTTAGTGATTTTGAAATCATGTATAGGCTATGCTTTGCTTAGAGTCTATATTTACAGGGCAGGAACGTGGACGCATTAATTCTTTATTTTGGCGAAGATCCATCTCGCTGTCCATTTGAACAAGGTGTGTGACCGTCTACACTTTAGATATGACATTCATTTTTTGTAGCTGATTAAGTGAGGTCCCATTTCTTCGTTTATGCCAATGATACTCTCTTTTTTGACCAAATGTTATTGATACTTTTAGCTTTGCACTTCACTAAAATTAATCCCATTTCTACTATATAGAAAAGGCTTTGGTCGTTGCCCTTACACTTGAAATAAAAAATAATATTGTAGAAAGTACTCTATAATTTCAGAGTATGTTCATTCCAATGAAAAGTGCCTCTTTTATAAGAGAGTATATAAAGACACTCCAGAAATAAGAAGTGATTTAAGGAATTAAAATTAAAACACAAAAAAGATAAAATCAATTACTATTGAGGCTAATAATGGTAAATATTTCGACAGATATATTCTGCAAGTTAGTGCGGGAACTATTCTCTTGTACCTGGATATGAAATTTCAAAAATTCAATGTCAAAATCTGTCTATTTGTAACTTACCAACTATCAACTGGATTTTTCTTTTTGAAATGATATGTAATTGGTTTCATTCTTGTATGTGTTAGAGTTTGGCCAAACTCTTTTGAGCTTGGTGCATGGTGTAAACGGTAGGCGAGCCATGGTCCGATCAATAAGCTCTGTACTATATTAGAGTTTGGCCTAACTCATTCTTACAAGCTGGTTTTGTAAGGATTAGTTCGGCCAAATCTGTCTATTTGTAACTTCCCAACTATCAACTGGATTTTGCTTTTTGAAATGATATCTAATTGGTTTCATTTTTTGTATGTAAATTCTTTAATGTCTTAAAATTGCATTAAGTTGGATTTCTGAAATTATAGTTCTTTGAAACCTATTTTCCTCCTGGCCGTCAAATTACTCTTTCATCAGTTCCACGCTGAAGCTTGGAAATGGTCAATTGCACCTTTTCTCTTCCTCTTCTTCCATTTGATAGACCGAACCTTAGGCACTAATATGGGAGCGTATTACATCATTCAGTTAGGGAGCAACCCGGATATTCTCTCAACTCGTTCTTCAGTACAATTGATTCTTGTTATTATTTTGAATTTACTGCAGTTGTCACAACTTTGCTCAACTTCACTCAAATGTTCAACAAAGCCCACGAAGAAAACTGCAAACAGCTAGAGCTTGAAATGAAGAAAACAGCAGAAAGTGAGAAAAAGAAATGTGAATCAGAGAGGATATTACCTAAAGCAATCCGGACTGGCAATGTCAAATGAGTAATTATTAGAGGAAGCTAGCTTTGATGGTGTATGTTCTAGCAGGAGTGCGAATTTAACCAGACAATGCCAGCTCTGGTTGTTTATTATTCTGCATGTATAGTGGCACATAAAGTAGTAGCTGGCATTGGGAACCGAAGAACTGCATTACACTACAAGGCTGAGGTAACTCTGAAGTTTGAACCCATTGTTCTCTCACTTTTGTTGTACTTTTTTTTTTCCTGATTGTCATCTCCTACCTCACACTAGTTATTCTATTTGCTATTTGTGAATCATAACAATGGTGGAGTTTGCATGAGATTTGTTTTTGGCCAACCAACTTGTATATAACTTCCCTCTCCACTCTGAAACTCTGATTGTAAGTATAAATATATATCCAAGAACCAGGGTATTAGTTTTTATTTTCCCTCAGCCTTGGTTCTCAGCTAGCAACACTAATTTCACGTTTGTAGTGTAAAGCTTAAATATCTTATTGTATAGCTTATTTATATGGTATATGTATTTTATTCGATTGATTGTTTGTACTACATTTTATTTTGAATACGTATCTTTTATTTTTTACATGACATTGGAGTATCTTTTAGGTGCTCTAGAGAAATCAAGAAATATCTTGCTTTCTATTGAGACTAATAATATATTACTCCCTCTCTTTCTCTCTCTCAATAAGTAGAGGTGTTTATGATGCTGATCGATTCAAGAATCTGCTAAACTAAATTGAACGAACTCATAAATTATCCGAAGCCAATCATTTACAGGTATATCCTACCCAATTCATATAGTTTTGATTTGAGTATCGGGTTAGAGTTTTGCGACTCGCAAATCCGTGGTTTTAGTAACTTCTTATTGTTTTTAATATTATTTTAAATAAAAATATAAAATTAATATTTCACTAATAATCATAATTTTTTCAAAAACTCCACTACTAATACTATTAGATCAATGAGTTTACGTAATTTTAAGATTAAATGTTGTTTATAAAAATAATATACTTTTTAATTTTATTTTTCAACTTACGAATTTTATAAAAATAATGTGTCTTGTTAAATTTTATACTATTATAAAATTATGTCTTGTTGATAAATTTTATTAGATATTATATTATGCGTTTCATTGAATTTTAGTGTTATAAATGAGTATGATTGTATTGAGTATTGTATTTTTCTAAACCGACAAAAAAATTATAAAAAAATTATTTGAAACACAACTCGCAAACCCAACCTAATTCATAAATGAGCGTTCGGTTTGGGTTGATTTTAATAATAAAATTGTGGATTGGAGGATGAACTTAGCTCATTAAAGTTTGACCGGGTTAGGTCAAATTCGCTCAATCCAACTTGTATACACCCGTAAAAATAAGTGTTTTTTTAGACAAAGAAATTTGTCTTAAAATAAGAGTCTTTTTATTTTTTTCAATGTAAAATTAATTAAATTTTATTACTTCTAATAAATATTCTTACACTACTTTTAAATTATTAAATTATATTATGCATTTATGATAACCAATAGTAATTAAAGATAATTTTATAAAATTGTTACATTAAATAAATTGTATGTAACAATTTTGAATGGCTTTTATTTTAAGACGGGGGAATACCTTTTTAAAGCTTGAAGACTAAAAAAATATTGTCTTAAGTTGGAGTAAGAGAAGACTGAATTTTTTTTAAAAATAATTTATTTATTTAATTTAAATGTTAAAATGATATATTTTTTAATTTATTTACCAAAATAACATAGTTTTAAAAAATGAAAATAAGGGGAGACTTTTTCATTTGAGTATGTGTAAAAAGTGAAAGTTCATGTGCCATTTGATTTGGAACATATATGTACGTGTAGTCAATTAAATGGCGCCTACACCATCATGTCATAATTTGGAATGTATGTGCCATATCAAATGGCGCATCCTCCTTAAAAAAAAATTATTAGAAAAACTAATTTAAAATAGGTTAAAAATTTAAGAAAAAATAAAAATAAATAAGAAAACAAATAAAAATACATTAAAGTTTACAACAATGGAATAAAAAATTAATGTTTGGCCCGATCAAAACGTCTCCAGTTCCACATTTCAGCGCATTAGCATGCCTTCGAGGTCTACAACGATTTTGTTGAGGTGTTTGTGGTCTTTGTGTATTGGCCTACAGAAAAGGTATTTGGTGCGAGGGTCTCGACCTATTCGATAACTTTTCAATCATCTGTCCACAATAGCTGAGGGATTGCTGTCAACGGCGCTGCCGTAATTTAGTTTCATGCTCATATTTTTGAAGTTGGGTCGTAGTGGTTGGCTTAGGTGGGTTTGGTGAGGACGGTATGATTGGTTGAATTGGTACATTAAATCGTTTTAGAAACAATGCAATGACTGTTGTGGGGTAAGGTAGTCAAATAGTGGTTGAATGTTTTGGTGGTGAGATGTATGTGTGTTCATTTGTGGGGGGCTATGGTGGGTTGGGTGGAGTCAAATGAGTCATCGAAGTTATAGGTAGATGTGGTGTCAGTGTGTGGATATTAGCAGTAAGGGCCAGACTCTTGTTGTTATGTTTGGTGAGTGGCATGAATGAGTTGCGGGTTTGGAAGTTTGATGGTTCGGTATACATCGCAAGTCGATGGTATGATGTGGGTAGTTGGGATTGGGTGGGTAGATATTGTTGTTGGGTGTGGTGCGGGGTTGGTTGTTGGGCAAGTGTTTGTTGTTGTGTGTATAACGATGAAGCACATCGGCGCAGATCTATCAAATATGTCGGCTCAGACACAAATTGTTGTGTTGTAATCGACCTAAACCAAATCATATATTGATGACTTGGTCTAACCCCTTCCACGACAGACTCGTTTAAGATGTGGCGACGTTGATTCTTCCAATATCGACACATCTCTTTAGCAAAGTCACTCAAATCATCGTAAATATATTGTGCATCTACTCTCATTTAATGCCAAACACCCAAACACGTCGGACCTACTAGAATATCTTGTTGCATGCTTACTGCAGTTTTACTCGATCACTTTGGTGCATCTCCACTGTAGTGAACTGAATGATTGGTGTTTTTGATGTCCAAACTACAAGATCATCGAGGTTAGGCTGATGGTCGAGACCTAGATATGACCTCCAGACAAACTGCATAATAAAAACACATAATGAGAAGAATTGCAGTGTGTTAATTTTATAGCCAAATTTATAGTAGTTTAGAATAAATTACATCGTTTGGTCCAATGTGGTCTAAAAGATTGCGGTACACGATTATTGCATTTTCGGGACATCGTTGGTAATTCATTCCCAGAACAGACCACCTAAAAAAAGTGAGAAAATATAATTAGTTACAAATAAATCTTTTATCAAAGTATACATGATTGATATTTTGAAATAAACTTACTTGTTTGTGTAGGGAAATGTGTATGGATTCGGGTTGACCGGAGCAAGTGTCGGCATTCTTGATCAACCCATGTTTGAAGTAGAAAGGCGCAACCATAAAACGTACAAGTATCTTTTTTTGCATTTTTACACAAGGCACTATATAGATGGGTCAAAATAGTTGAACCCCAACTATAAGTGCCTACTTTATGAATGTTGCGTAACAACGACAAATACATAATATTTATCGTATTTTCAGTACTTTCAAGAAATAAAAAATGTCAAAATAAAATCATAATATAACATCGAGTTTTAATTAGGATTGAAGTCCTTTAACTTAATTTCAATTTTCACTTTAGTCCCTTATTTAATAAAGGTTACATTTTAGTCCTTTAAAATTTATTTTGTTAGTCAAGTTGATCTTTTCTATTAAATTTTGTGAAAAAACATTAAGTTGTGCATACGTGGCATGACAACATGGCAAGTGAGTCAAAAATTTAATAAAAAGAATGAATTGAAACTATATATATATAGTTAAAGTACCAAATTGAAACTTTTTTTTATATTATCATAATCTTAAATATAATGACATTAAACCAAAATTCTTCTGCTTTTCTTCCCTATCAGAAACACATAAATAATGAATAGAATAAAATAACTTCAGCCACAAAAATCTCATTCATCCTGGACATCATTCAGGTGATGTTGATTGGGTCAACCTCTATTATAAACAATATCTTCAATTTCTTATCCTGAACAAACTCTTCAATTGTGGAACTCTGAAAAAAAAACATCAAAAGGAAAAGTATTGCCTTGTGCATTTTTATACTCTAGGTTTTCCTCCAAATCCATGAGAATAAAAATTATATCAGTTTGATTGAAAACTGCAAGTAGGAACAAAATAACATTACATCAGGTATGAACATTAACACATAGAAGAGTGGGAGATATACCAATTGCAATAAAATGACCAATTGATTCCAGAAAGAGTTATTTAATATTATTTTGGCCTCATAAGTTCAACATGAAACAATGAATTTTACAATAACTATGAAAGATAGCTGTTGCGGTGGAAATAGGATCACAAACTATTAATGAGTTTGAATCGCAATTCAATTCACAACCGCTCTTTGATTTATCCGAAGGAAAAGGTCAAAAAGGAAAAACCTATTTTGCATCGTAAACACAATGCGGGGAAAGATCTAGGGTTCGGGGGTTGGTTAAATTTAGGGAAGGTATTAGCACCCTAAACTTCCGTAGTACTCTACGGGAACCTTTTGTTCAAATGTTTACTACTTGCTTTATTCATTTGCTTAAAGTATATGTACAAAGGAATTAAAAGTGAGAAAGGAGACCTAAGGGGTTAATTCTAAGTTTACTCGGCAAGACATCGCATCTTGTGCCTACGTATCCTTACGGGAGTGGAATCAGAGTAATCGTAGTTCCCCTCAAAAGGGAGGTTAGAGACTTCTTGACTGTGGTCAAGGTCTCAAGGGGAATAAACGCATCTTAAGGACACGCTTACGTGGAGTCTTAAACTCCGATCTCTACGTTATGAATTGTTAAGTTGTAATTAGGGTTAAATTAGGGATTTCACGGCGGGAAACCCTAAACTGAGCGCGACGGCTCTTTGACCTAATGCTAGGGGTAAAATGGTAATTTT